ACAACATTGCTTGCAGAGTTGCCAAGTCTGCAGCTTGTCCATGGATTTGTCCTCATTTTAAATTGTTTTTAGAGCACAATTTGATGGTTTTGAAAAAGCATACTATTACTAAAATTGCATATTATATACATAAATAACCTTAAAAATATGCATACATAATTATTCTTTGACAAACAATACTATTACTTATATTGCATATTATGTAAGTAAATACAAGTAAAAATTTGCATTCTGCATGGCAAGGTTTGACAACGCATACTTAAAGTGTATTATATATTATGTAATATTAGTAGAAATATGTGTACGTTTTGCAAAGTTTGATGGTTTGACAATGCATACTAATTATGCTGCATATTATACAAGTAAAAATATAAATGCATTTTGCAAGGTTTGATGGTTTGACATTATATTGCATGTTTTATAAGTAAATATAAGTACAAATATGTTTACAAATTGCAAGTTTTCATGCACTGACAAACAATTTTGACAAAAAACAAATAAATATAAGCAAAAAATATGCATGCATGCTGAATTAGCTTAATAGGCATACATTTTGCAAGGTTCAATGGTTTGACATGCTATTACTTATACCACATATTATATAAATAAATTAAAAATGCATACATATTGCAAGGTTTGATGGTTTGACATTATATTGTATATTATATAAGTAAATATAAACAAAAAAATTGCAAGTCATAAGAATAATAGTAGTCCAAGGCACTCGAATCTTATTAAAAAAATTTTTTAAAAGCCTTTATTTCATCATGGCTATACGTTTTGAGAACAGGTGACAAGTGCACAGCTACGCATTGCGGCTATTTTACCTTCGTCAGGGTGTGAGTAACAAACACAATCTGAATTCATTTTAAGCAGCAGTTAATTAGTCAAATAACAATCACCTGGTCGTTCTACACAGGACAAACAATAGAGAGGAAGTTCGACGATTACATATCAAATTAAATCAAACACAATATAATCATGTATAAAGGAGGGAGAAACAATGTTTTTTTTTTTTTAATTTTAATATATAAATCAGACTCCACAAATCAGTTAGAGATTGCTGCTTGCTTGCTTTATTTGTTTTAACACGTTCTGTCCCATTTCTGGTGCCCGTTTGTGGTTTTTCTTAATTGGTAAATGGAGTCTTGCCAGTGGCACTGCGGTATGTCTTTATCAGATTGGAGGGTTTGAAGGGTTTCCTGAGGTATCGATAAATGCTGGCTCACTGCTTTTGGATTTGAAAAGAACTTGCCGTTTTTGCCCAAAAACAGAACCTCTGGGAAACCTTCAAGAGATTGGATGTCTGCAAAGAAATCCATAATCATTTTTCATTTTTCCCCATGAATTTGTTCCTGAGCTGCATCCAGTTACTGAAATTGTTGTATTGATACCTGCTCAGAGAACATACAGTTATTAAGAGATCAGAGTATTGTCATTTCATTGAGAGAAACAGCGTATAGCAGTTATTCTCGTTTTGTTTTTGTATTCCAGAGGAGATGTGATTTGTAGGCTTCACCTTTGATCTGATTTTCTGCTGATCTTTCAGATGAACTGTGGACGTGTGATCGTCATGAATGCAGTTGAGTGAATGAATGAGGGTTGCCAGGTCTGCATGACAAAGACTCGCTTAAAACTCAAACTATACCACTTAGAGTCCGTATTATGCATTTCAACTTTATTTCTCTTTATTTCTTTCTAAAGATCAAAAACCATCAAGTTCATTGTGAGAAAACAAAACCCAACAGCATCATCATTGCTGGAAGTCTTGTAATATTTAGGGAGCTTTAGAGGGTTGCTTGGATGATGTAAATGCATACAGTACTGTGCTGCTTTTTTCATTTTCCTGCAGATTCACATGCCTATAGAATAGAAATGATGTAAGTGTAATTATTTCAAACAAAGTTTATTTTTTTTATTTTTTTTACTGAATACTGAAAAATACTCATATAGGCCTATGCATATTTTTACTTTTATTTTACCTATAATATGTGGTATAAGTAATAGAGTGCTTTGTCTAACCACCAAACCTTTCAAATTTTTTCTCGAAATAAGGAGTGCAAAAGAAGTGCTGCACGGGGTATTGGGTTTCTAGTCTCGGTGCTCTTTGGGTGCAAGGGATGATTCAACTCGTAAGAATAATAGTAGTCCAAGGCACTCGAATCTTATTCAAAAAAATTTAAAAAGCCTTTATTTCATCATGGCTATAAGTTTTAAGAACAGGTGACAAGTGCACACCTACGCGTTGCGGCTATTTTGCCTTCGTCAGGGTGTGAGTAACAAACACAATCTGAGTTCATTTTAAGCAGCAGTTAATTAGTCAAATAACAATCACCTGGTCGTTCTACACAGGACAAACAATAGAGAGGAAGTTCGACGATTACATATCAAATTAAATCAAACACAATATAATCATGTATAAAGGAGGGAGAAACAATGTTTTTTTTTTTTTAATTTTAATATATAAATCAGACTCCACAAATCAGTGTGTATATGTACATAGTATAAATTTCTTTATAAAAAAAAAAAACGTTTTACAACAAAAGACCAGGTGATTGTTATTTGACTAATTAACTGCTGCTTAAAATGAATTCAGATTGTGTTTGTTACTCACACCCTGACAAAGGCAAAATAGCCGCAATGCGTAGCTGTGCACTTGTCACCTGTTCTCAAAACGTATAGCCATGATGAAATAAAGGCTTTTTAAAACAATTTTTGAATAAGATTCGAGTGCCTTGGACTACTATTATTCTTACGAGTTGAATCATCCCTTGCACCCAAAGAGCACCGAGACTAGAAACCCAATACCCCGTGCAGCACTTCTTTTGCACTCCTTATTTCGAGAAAAAATTTGAAAGGTTTGGTGGTTAGACAAAGCACTCTATTACTTATACCACATATTATAGGTAAAATAAAAGTAAAAATATGCATAGGCCTATATGAGTATTTTTCAGTATTCAGTAAAAAAAAAAAATAATAATAAACTTTGTTTGAAATAATTACACTTACATCATTTCTATTCTATAGGCATGTGAATCTGCAGGAAAATGAAAAAAGCAGCACAGTACTGTATGCATTTACATCATCCAAGCAACCCTCTAAAGCTCCCTAAATATTACAAGACTTCCAGCAATGATGATGCTGTTGGGTTTTGTTTTCTCACAATGAACTTGATGGTTTTTGATCTTTAGAAAGAAATAAAGAGAAATAAAGTTGAAATGCATAATACGGACTCTAAGTGGTATAGTTTGAGTTTTAAGCGAGTCTTTGTCATGCAGACCTGGCAACCCTCATTCATTCACTCAACTGCATTCATGACGATCACACGTCCACAGTTCATCTGAAAGATCAGCAGAAAATCAGATCAAAGGTGAAGCCTACAAATCACATCTCCTCTGGAATACAAAAACAAAACGAGAATAACTGCTATACGCTGTTTCTCTCAATGAAATGACAATACTCTGATCTCTTAATAACTGTATGTTCTCTGAGCAGGTATCAATACAACAATTTCAGTAACTGGATGCAGCTCAGGAACAAATTCATGGGGAAAAATGAAAAATGATTATGGATTTCTTTGCAGACATCCAATCTCTTGAAGGTTTCCCAGAGGTTCTGTTTTTGGGCAAAAACGGCAAGTTCTTTTCAAATCCAAAAGCAGTGAGCCAGCATTTATCGATACCTCAGGAAACCCTTCAAACCCTCCAATCTGATAAAGACATACCGCAGTGCCACTGGCAAGACTCCATTTACCAATTAAGAAAAACCACAAACGGGCACCAGAAATGGGACAGAACGTGTTAAAACAAATAAAGCAAGCAAGCAGCAATCTCTAACAGCAGTTTCAGTGCATTCGCCGAGAAATCCTTTGAGAGGACATCTCCGAACACCTCAAGAATAGTGCGAATGAAGCTACTCCACACTGTCACACATCATTATCTCCACAAAGAGGAATACAGCAAATGGGAACAATAGCACAAAAAACTCATTTTGCCTTGAGATTACACTGTCACCTCAAATCTACTAGGATTTGTTCTGTCAATTATGCAACATTTCCTGCATGGTTTTATTGTTGTTTTCTTAATCACCAATGCTGTTGCAAAAAAAAAAATCAATAAATCAATAAATAATAATAATAGATTTTTTTTTGCACCGTTTCCCATTTATTTCCCATTAATAGCTCATTATCTGACCCTCTTTCACCCACAAACCATCATTTACATTCAAAACCTAATCATCATACTCTAGCATGGACTGACTTTGCACCGTATTTTAAGTGCAAAAATGTCAATATATTCCATAACTATAATGTATAAACCAAAAAATGTCTAAAAGCCCAAATATACTGTAAACCCAAGTGCTCGGAAATATTGACCGTGTCATCCACATACAAAATAATTGGCTGACCTCACATCTGCAAAGCACCTTTTTAAAATGCACACAGCATATGACAAAAAAGGTGAACTCAAAAGCTAATAAAACCTAGCTGCCTAAAAATAACCTAAAATAAACCCTTAAAAGCTGCAAGAAGCTAGTTATCCTTTCAAATCATGTCAATAATTAATCACATTTGATGTGCAATGCAACTGAGTATAATAATATAAAAAGATCTGCAACTAACCATCTTTTCAAATGCATAAATGACAAAAAGTGCACTCAAAGACAATAAAACAGCACTGATATTCAATAAATGCAATGATTCTTCATCTTCTGCCTTTTAACTAGGAACCTTCAAAATAAAAATACTGCGTATAATCTTATCTATATAATTCATACCGATTAGTCATCAGTTCTCGAAACGTGTATTTCACAGCACTTCAGTGATCTCATCCATAGCAAAGTTAGTTAAGCAAGTTACTCCAGTAATCTAAACCCATCTATGACAACCCATTTATATGACATTTCCCCTGCCATATACACTAGCCAAAAAGTAGCTCATGTGTTGTGCGCCTGTTGTGATCCGTCAGCACATGAAGTTCAGTTGGATCTGCTCGTCTTACCCATGTTGGCACCAGGAGGCTGCCGGGTCTCTCTAGCAGATCAGGCTGATGTTTGGCGGCTGCGTTCATCTCCCATGCAGCCTCTGGTTCTGTGCACTGAAGTCACACACACTTGGATCTGTCATTTATATCCAGTGATGGCCGGGCATCGTGCTCAGCCTGTTGGGAAGGATGCGGCTCCGGGGTCCAGCATCCAAATGGACCCGACGGAGACCAGCGGCTCTCTGCGAATCTGAATCTGAGGCGCTCGGTGTTAAAGGCACATCCACACAGAGCTGAAGCGATCGGAGTGATGTGCTTATTCCTGCGAGTGGGAAAGAGACGCGTCGCGCTGGAGGATCGGAGCGCAAATGTTGAGCGCGTTTCTTTCTGCTGCCTCAGATATGATGAGCCCTTCAGCTCGAGCTAATTTAACCCATCACTGACTGAACTCTACACACTCAACTAGGGCTGGGCGATATGTCGAAATATGCACTGCATATTTATGATGCGTAAAGCAACATCGTATAGGTGCATTGTCATTTTCATTTGGACAAGTTTCCAAAACACGGCTTCATGACACGCAACTCTTCCCTTTCATGGAGTTTTATCAGCATCTCTGATTTAAACTTGATTTGAGTAGCAAAAGCGTTTGAGTTGGTAACTTTGATTCATTTCCGCGAATCAATTCAAATTTCAATGAATCTGTTCGAAATTCACTCAGACTCCCGATTTCCATGTACAAATATCTTCGTAGCACATATAATTTACTTTTGTGCATTGGCTTTTGGTTGAAATATGCAGCAAATACCAACATATCAAAATAAAAAGTTTTCAGTATTTTAGTGATTCAAATATATAATTATTTAATGTCGTTAGACACTAATTCCATAGAGCAGGGTTATTATAGTTAACTAAAACTAGAACAACAAAACAATTTTTGTCACCTGAAATTAACTTTAAAAAAAAAAACACTTCAACTTTTATTTTATTTCAGCTAGATGCCAAGGCAACATTTCTCCTTTTATTTCTTGATGAAATAACTAAAACTAAAACTGAAATAAAAAAAATGAATAAAAACAATATAGACTACTATACAGACATTAAAAAAACTAAGAAAAATGACAAAAACACACAAAATTAATAAAACGTTAACTAAAATTAAATTGAAAACAAAATATAAAAAGGAATTCAAAATACTAATAATATATGTTAATGACACTAAAATTTTCATTTTTACATAACCTAATATTAATGCATTAATTTTGGCTACTGAAAATACAACATATGAACAACAAAACTATGCAAATGGGCCTGCATGAATTTAATGACTAACACAATGGCAGCATGTTAAATATATGCATATTATTGAAAACTAAACAATTTCAAAAGAAATTTGTTGAGCGCAAGAAACAAACAAATACAACAGTATCTTAACAAGTATCTTAACAAATAAAACAAGTATCTTAAGTGCATATTCATTCATCTGTGTTGTTATCAGCCTAAATATGAACTCTCTTAAATCCAACAGCATTTCTCTTGTTTCTCTTAATAATAGTATTGATTTCTTGCATGCATTTGTGAAATGCACGGAGAACTAGACTCACTGCCAGAGGACATATTTAGGAGACTTCCCTTTCAATTTCAATGCTCACTGGCCAAATTAATGTGCCATTGACCTAATTATTGTTTGCACTGTACTGTTAAAGTCAGCAGCCTCAGGTTCAGGCCGATTACTAGAAATGAGTAATTAAGCACTACAGTTTATTGCAGAGTGCCAATAAAAAGGAAATTAGCAGCACAGCTTTAGTGCTCAAATTATTGGAGCATCTTTAAGCTCTTCTAACTCAAGATTAATTTGTGCATCGTTCATTTGTGATTCCTTGTTAGGAATTCTGGAACGGACGACACCTGTCTACAAAATGCTTTGCTCTTCTTACTGATCTGTAGAGAAATGGTTCAGAAATTAAATAAAGACATATAATTTAATTATCTATTAAAAACAAAAACAACAACAACGGACCCAATTTTCACAAGACTGTGATGACGCGTTTCAACGGCCATCAGCAACGTAAATCCTCAAGTTTTTTATATTTAGATTTTTTTTTTTAAATGTATGTACATTTATAACACTATACTTTGTATTATATCACCTTTGCATTAAATTACAAAAAATAAATAAATAAATTGACATCGTTCCCTCTTCTGACTGCCGTTATCAGTCTGTCTCAAATTTTTTTCCTTTGATTGAAAGTCGTGAAAACACTTGATGGAAATGCAAATGGAAATGCAAAAATATATATATTTGTAGTACTCTCCCATTCACTGCTCTCAAAGTTTACCCAACTATGACGACTTCCGCTGCTGAGAAACCCGGAAATGAGATAACGATATGTGAGGGACGATAACGTTTTATTTATTCAAAGTGCGCGCTGCGGTTTTCGAATTCTTGCGCGCTCTTTAAAGTCAATGTTTTGAACATTCTTCAAAATCGTTCTTTAAGTGATTTCAACATATTCAGCCTAATAGAGGTGTGAACTTCACCATTATCTTAGAATTAAAACTATTATTAAAGCAACTGTATGTATGTTTTTACCTTGAACTATCAGTTTCAAAATCATTCTAATGGTACATTGACTTCTAATACAGCGAATATCTTCTATTTCTTTCCAAAAGTCCTTTCTGAGAGTAAGTTTGGTGCGCGGATACGAAATTCCACAAAAAGGGCGATAGTGATCGGTGCTTTCGCAAAAAACTGCTTCGTGAAGCTTCGAAACATTTATGAATCATATGTTTCGAATTAGTGGTTTAGAGCTTGTATCGAACTCACCAAGTAACGTGAATTCAGCAAATGAGGCTTCGTTACATCGAACCTTGGTTTCAAAACTCTGATTCGCTGCTAGATGGCTTTTATTATGTAGGTTAATTTTGATATATATATAATACAAAAATAACAATGATAACTGCTTCTTGACCTTGTTTGTTCTTGACCTGTGGTGTTTTGAATGCTTCGAAACGTTTTACGAAACAATTGACTCAATTGATTCAGAGCTTCGAAAAGTTTCCATCACTTTACAGCAGCAACAAATGCACATGTACAGCTACGCACTATAATTATGACAGTTATATATTAACGACAGTGGATTCCACTCACTAAACTGCAATAAAAGTTGGAAAAATAGCCTATATAAAACTGCATACAGTTTCTTCAAAACATCATCTTTATAGTTATCGTCCTTGGTGTAAATGGCATTAGGATATCTGCACTGTTCTTTTCTGTGCAATGACAGTTCATAATAGCCAGTATGTCAAGCTCCAAACGGGGCAAAAGAACAGTGTTTTGTTTTTTTTCTTTGAACCGAAATTAAATTTAACAAAAAGCCCACTCTTATCAAGACAAAATGCTCTTTTAACGGTCCAGACTTTAAGGGCTACAATGGACCTAAAGCATAAAAAAGCCGCCCACTGTAACAGAGCAATTCACAGTTCTTCATGACGCAAACATTTAATAATAGGCCATCACATGATGTCTGACCTGTCAGCCTTTACTGCCCATTACCAGGTACCCCGAGCAGGCGGCATTTCTTTATCAAGCTTAGATGGCTGCTGCGAGCACTGCATGATGGCTTTCAGTGTCTTGTTTTCGGTTTCCTAATGCGATCACACATACAGGGTGGTAAAGAGCGTCCGGGCATCGGGCCAAGCTCGCATCCAACAGTGCATCTCCTGTAGAAATCACTGGTCACCATCGCTTAAACAGTCTTGCTGATAAACATTCATTTCACATGAGCACCTGGGCAGAAGTGCTTCTGAAACACAACAGGGGCAGAGAAACAAAAGGAGGGTCACTGGATGGGGAATAAAAGCCGCAGCGCCCTTGCTCTGATGAGCCGAGCCGAATGCAACATGACAAAACACTTACCTAAGGAGGCGGGAGATACCTTTGCATGCACATGCGAGGCAGTTTTGTTGTTATTCCACACGTGTCAGGTTGAGGGTCACTCCGGGCAACAAACTTCACATTTTCAGGGAAAGCTGCATCAACAATTTAGCATCAAAGCCTAATTACTCCCTTCACGTTTTCCCCTTGCGCTCCACTAATTAGACCGCAATATGAAATAACACTGTCTTGTGTCTTCGACAATTTGCTGGCAATTCTAACAAAAAGAAAAAATAATAATAAAATAAATAAATAAATAAATATAAAAAAGAACAGTCCACCTAAAATGTTATTTCTTCAATGTGTACATTTTTTTTTTCAAATTCTAAAATATTTGTATTTATTATTATTGTTGTTATTATTATTATTATTTTTATTTCAATCGTTGTTTAAATGTTGGTAATTATATTATTAAGCTAATTATATTATATAAGCTTGTTACTGAAGCTTGAATAACATTTTTCAAAAAGTTAATTGCGACTTTTTATCTCAAGTCTTGTTAGATTAAAAAAATAAAAAGGCCAAGTTAATGGTTTTTTGATCCCATGCACGCTAAACTCATATATATCTATCTATCTATCTATAGATTTTTTTTTAGTTGCAATTTTCTTTAAAATGTCTTTAGTAAATCTGTGTATATAAATATTTAATAATTTTTAGGATTTTAAGGTTTTATATTTGGAATGTATATTTCTTCCATGCATATGTTTATTTTGATTTATTTTTATAATTATATGTATATAATTATTATATGAAGTACACAACTTGCTATATCTTTTTAACTGACTTCAGTATTAGTACATGTATTTGAAGAATAAAGGTTAACTCTTTTAGAAGTAGTACAGTAAAATATCTAAGACCAGGTGTGTAATGTATAAAAGTGTTTCATCCTTGCCTTTTGCTTTTGTGTTTGCACTTAGCACTTTTGTATATTTATGGCCTCCAAAAAAAAGTGTTTTGAAGATTTTATTTATTTATTTTATTTTTTGGTGCCATAAATTATTGAATTATTTTTCTAAGTCTGTTTTTTTCTTTTTCTTTCTTGAATATATTCCTAGAAAACTCTCATTCACATGACTTT